TAAATATAATGATTTATATAAAATGGCAATGATCAGCCGAGTACTGCGCAGCTTAACCTACTACGAGACAAGCCAAAACAAAAGATAATTCCGATACGGGGAATCGAACCCCGAGCTGCCGCGTGAAAGGCGGCAATGTTAGCCGTTACACCATATCGGATTGGAGGATTTTGGAAAGTAAAATAATATATTCCGACGATTTAACCACTACAATTTTATGAAGTATAATAAATCCTTCCATCATAGCGCTTAGCGCTTAACGTTAAGGTCTGGACTGGGTGGAGGACTTTTTTAACATGCGTATACTTAACTTTCTCAGAATTTCATCACAACCCACTAGTGGTTACAGAAGTTGCCGCCCGCTGAGTCTTGTTCGGACTATCACGTCGATACTGAATACCACTCGATCTTCGAAGAGTGAGGAATTAATTGACGGAACACCGCTGCCATTGCATAGGGACGCTGAAAGAGATTACTGTGCTGCTACAAAGAAAGCCTGGCCGGAGTATTTGACGACACTCCAACCATAAGAGGCTGGGAAAGTCAAGTTGTTTCCGTACCTCAGTTTCCTGATATGCCGCATTTCATTATTATACGCACCGAACCTATACTAATGGTATGATACTCACTATATCTCTAAAACAGTTCAGCTAGAGAGGTTTAGTTCATTAGATCTACGGCTGCCCTTGGACCTTGTTTGGATGTATCGGTCGAGAAGCTGACTGGGTATTTAACAGAACTTTTCATTTGCGATTGCCAACACGGTGTTAAATTGTAGCCCTCGTTGATGGAGTACACGCAGTGAAGCCTATATTTTCAGCTGATGAGAAGATCAGCATGAAAACACGTAACTCCACCTGAATTCTGTGGTCTATACGCAAATAAGCTTCCTTTTGTGTCGAATAGAAGATGGCGCAGGAAAACAACTGGCACCTGTGGAAACTACGAAAATTCTTGGAACATTCATCGTTATTCATCACCGAGGTACTTAGAGATCCGTAACTAGTTTTATTTCATCCTCTTTCTTCCCTCTGCCCTCGCCCGTCCTGTCTCATGATGGATTTGACCTCCAAGTCTAGCGCAAGGAAAGGTGCAAGCAAACCCGATCCGGGGAATGACTCCTCTGGACTCAAGGTCCTTGCATCTTAAAAGCTGCGGATTGGGACCTAACCTTTCTTCAGGCCAAATCATCTTTCAGTGCTCTACCTGAGTCTGCATCTGCTGCCACTACGAAGAAACTCGGTCAAGTAAAAATGGCCGCTCGACGGCCTCAGAACCAGCGCCGCGTCGCTCCACGACTCATTTCCAAAGCCCTTCAAAACTCCGAGTCCCAGCAACGAGAGGTACACCAGATTGTAAGAATCTTCCTGTTTTTGATTTTCAAGGCTTACTAGAATCGGAACTGCCTAGTCCTCCGCAGAATCCTCTCCGAAGGATACCATCAGCGAACTTCCTTCGGACTGGGAGGCGAAGGTGGGCATGGACGCGCGCACCTTGTGGTCTCAGGACGGCGACACCAAAGGTGCACTCACTCTGTACAGAGGAAACCGGACCGCGGACAATATTACAGTAAAGATTGATGAGGTTGATGGGTTCCTCTCGTCGACTCCCATCCAAGCAGGTCCATCAACAGAGTCCCTGTTCCGACCAGTTCCGCTCAATTACCCATCTGCGGAAGGTAAGCGAGCATCTGAGCCTCTGAACGCATCAAAATGAATCTTGCGATGTAGCGAAAGGCGATAGGTCCGGAAATCAAGATTCCGGAGTCTCTGCCGATCTCGTTACCACCCTAGAGAACGAAAACCGTGCTCTTATGGATACGATTATGGAGCTGCGTAGTGAGTCAGAACTCGATCTTTCCAGCTTCTAATGACACTCCACTCCCTTAGACGTGAACAACCACGCCAACGAACAACGCCAAAAGGCGAGCGTGGCGGAGTACATGTACGTCCATCTCCGGCAGCTCCAGTTGCAGCGCTCCATTTCCAATTTTGGGAGTCGCAAGATCTCGGTGGATAAGCTGGTGGATACATTCAAGAAGCATTTGCACGAGCTGGAGAACATCGGGAACAAGTTTTTGGAGGATCTTCCAGAAGATTTTGGTCGTACGGAATTTGATGAGATGCTTTCTGGTGTGAAGAGGGAGTCAGAGTCCGTTGACCTTGAAATAGGGACCCCCCCGGCCAAAAAGTTCAGACTCGCAGACAATGCTTACATGGTCAAGGGTAGGCAGGCGCAATAGATAAATTCTGTTTCTTTTATTGGTTTCTTGACATACACATTAATGCATTACACATCAAGCTTGTTTGTACTCGTTCTGTCTCATTGTTATGCGGGGTTCTTGTACGCTGGGTCGTACTGAGATATCCGAATCTAGTCATAAAATCGTATCAATGCATCCATTTGAAAGCAATGGATTAGTATCGAGGTCACTCGACGTATACTTCATTCCCATTCCAGATAGCTTTCGGCTTATAGTGTAGCGATCCGTTTGCCATACGCTCCTTGACTGTAAGATGGAAATGAGGCCGTGTCTCTTCGATCGTTCTCCCTCTTCCCAAATTCCACCTACAATTCGCAGTCAGGGTTGAAGCAATAACATAGAAGGCCGACAAACCGGAATTCACTACGCCACACGCCTTGTGCGTCTTGCCATGAATATCGCACAGGGATGATCTCTAGAAGCCACCATATTTTGGTGTCTTGTAGCCGGTCATGGATAGGCTGTTGCGCATCGATTTCGTCGGCAATTCCAGGATCCCCATGCGCTTTCGGCGGTTGGGATACAAGACTAGGCCGGAGCTCGAGCTTTGAGAGCGCTGCTTCATCGAATATGGTCCCACACTGTGAGCTGATAACTTGACGAATCATCCAGCGAAGGGGTATGTTGCCGATACTGTGCGGAGGGGCTGACATCAGTTCGTTTCCGCCGATATCTTAGGGAGCTCGGTTACCGACAAGCATGAGGAAAGCAACCAATCTTACCGCTGTGGCACCCCGAAAACCATACTTCCAGCACATCGGTCGGATTCCAGTCTTCATCGTCCAAACTTGTTGAGCTTACTGGACTGTCTCCAGTGATCAGGATGAAAGAAAGTGCTGAATCCAAATTTCTTAGAGCGGTAGAACGACAGCTTGTTGGTGTAGGTTTTGACAATGCCAGAGGCTGTGCTGATTGTCGTTGTGGACTCTTGGTCTTGGCCAGATGATGCTCGGTGAAAGAGGTTGGGTCTAAATCGGGAACGGTGCTGATACAGTTTATGTCAGTTATGAATGGCTGGAGACTAAACGTTAAAGGCTACCTCATCAAGTGATATGGCATGGCGAAATGTCTTGATGGCACGATTAGAAGTTGTGAAAGGGAGCGTCCTTCCCATGACCACGCCGACGCTTGCCACTGTGTCCCTACGGAAATTTCAATCAGTGGCCAGAGAGTCTTGACGGCTGACGAACCATACGCCCATGAATTCGGTCTGAACATTGCGACAGAATGTGTGCTTGAAACCGGTGCTCAACTCCATACCAGCTTCATCGTCCTGCTTATATAGCTTGTAGGCGAAGAGGATTTGTTCCTGGTTATCTCGCGGGAGAGGTCCGACCTATCAACAGGCATTAGTAACGTATTATGTGAAAAATATCTACGCACTTTGTACAGCATACCGGCCAAAGCACGCGCTGTATACGCGCCCCGAGAAAAGCCTGCAGACGACCGATTAGAATTGTGTAATGGAATAGGTTCGAGACACATACCGAACATGCAAATTCTGTCTCCGGCGCGGTAGTTTTGCATAAGAAACCTATAGCCATCCATTACGTGCTCGTTGAGATACCTAAATCAATGCATCCTTACACGCCGTGCACATGAACAGGCCAAAACTTACCAGGCTACCGCTTCGTCTGCAATTTTGGCCACCCATTCAAAAAGCGGTGACACAACACCTGGCGCGAAAAAAGTTCCTATTCCAGCCTGTATCACGCGATTTCATGAGAATCTGGAGGGATGAAAGGAGCGGTAACTGACTTGATAGTAACAAAGCTGTTGACTGGAATCGTCTTTCTTCAGCAGGGAGAATAACTTGACGACGTTTGTATTCTGAGAAAGGCGGGTTGGGCAGTTAAGTACATTGAGACCAGCACAACACTAACCTCCTTCTCGTATTCACTGGCTGCTTCGAGGCTTCACTGCCGCTGTTAGACATTGGGGTGGTAGCAAGGGGTAGGAAGATTGGATTCCGTCACGGCGCACTTTTATAGCCATCTTCGTTCTTGGCTCTGACAGCAGAAGTAGGTGGATATATCGGGAAGGATACACTGATCGTCATCCCGTGACAGAATTCTTGACGTGAACGGCGGTCATCGCAATCCAAGTGGGTCAAAAAAAAATTTTAGCAAGTTTTGGTGGGGAAGGACAGCTGGTGCAGCTATAGGTACCACGGCACCAGTGGAGCAACAGCATACTAATACTTGTTGATTCTTGATACTGACAGAGGCCACCGAGAGCAAATGTCGTGTTCTCATCTGTTGATGCCTACGCTCAACGGACCTTGATCACCTCAGTGTCGACTCGGGATCGCACAAAAGTAGAGCAGTACTATTCAAACGAAACGTGGCCGCATTGGTGGCGCGTGAAAGCTTGGCTACATGGGCTAGAATCAACAGCTTGCTATATTGGATGGTCCACGCCGAACAGACAGACCTTGGATATCATGGCAGTGAAAGTTAAAGGGATGTTCAATCCGAACATAAAACAAAACCGCAGTCGCTGAAAAACTTGAATTTGAAGGGCCGTTGCTTCTAAAATATGAGTTCTTTGGGAGTGATGATGGACCTTGATAAGTCTACGTGGGTCATCGCGCCCGAGGACATTTCCTACATCATGCAATCAGGGCTCGGTCAATAAGAACCTAAAAACAGAAACTCGAGCAATTTTCTGGCCGCCGGGTGCATACCAATCTAGAACAGGCTGCGTGAATATTGATATTGTAAGATCTCTGCAGCAGAAACACCAGAGATACATGCTTTCGTGGACCAAATAGTGCAGAATGAATGAATGGAGGATATGCGACCTTGTTTAGTGGTAGCCTATGACAGACGTTTGAGAGTGGATGTCACGGGAAAAGAAACATACCTTGCCGCCAAATAATATGGCATGCAACAGCGCTTCTCCTCAGTGATACGCAATGCGGATAACATAGAAAAACTGCAGTCATACTTGAATATGATAGGGTTGTCAAGGAATGATGAGACGGAACACAATGAGGCTGATGTAAATGTGTTTGGAAGCGAACGTGGATCTTCTCATCTCATCTCATCATTACACGGCACAGTATCTTCTGGCACGCCGGACGGGAAGGATGCAGAGATGCGCAGCGGTACTTTTCTTCGGACTTCCTTCTATAGACAGGCTGGAGATGGTTGCCGATGCCTCAAGCTTCAGGTCCAGTTTCAGATTCAACTTCATGCTAGTGCTGAGCGCTGAGCACTGATGCACAAACCATAAGATAGGCTGACGCAACCAAGGCGAGAACTTTTTGACGAGATTCGTCTCAGTCATGTGACTAACGTCGCTGAAATTTCCAATTCTTTGCTTTCAAGTTCTCATTGCGTTTTCCTCCGTGCCACCCGCAAACAACACCAACCGTTTCTCTTCGGTATCAAGACTATTGTACACTTATACTTTGGCGGGCAGATGCTCTAGAGAAATGCCGGTTGCTTCGAAGATTGAGCGTTGTCTCCAGTGAGTAGCCCAGAAGTATACCGTTTGATCTTTTCCCGTTATTCATGTAACTTATAGAGCTTTGACAGCAAGTATGTTCTTGCTTACTCTGTCTATGTGGTACTGGGTTCTAAACTCAGCTCGTAGCGTTTGGTCACTCGGTGTATAAAGGAAAGCAACAGGATGTCATAGAGGCTGCGGTTACTGGTGCGTTTATATTCCCCAATACTTCTGAGAACACCCTTCGACTTCCTCACCACCAGGTATCGATGTTTTTGTGCTTGCGCCAACCGGGATGGGGAAGGTATGATACTCCCATCGGATCCTCTTCCTTTATGACCTCTCTTAACAGAGCATATGTTTCCAATTACCCGCCGTCATAGAGGATGTAAGGATATTATGCTTTCATGCATCCGTAATCAATCTCAAACTTTTTCGCACAGAGTGGCGTCACAATTGTCGTCTCACCTTTACTAGGTCTGTTGTAAAAAAGTCCTTTGAAATTTATTGACTGTCATGATGCAGCTTTGATGAAGAATCGTGCGCCATCCACTTCTAATATCGTACGCACATTCTGATTCTGTCCATAGAGGCCGAAAGTCTGAGGCGGAAAGGCATCAATGTTGTATGTTTTAATTCAGAAATGTCTCCTGAAGATAAACTTGAGGTAGCAATCTTATACACCATACTTTCCACTTAACTGAAAGTAATACAGATCATCAGAGACCTCGCCGATGGTGTCTATCATAACCGGCTCTTATACAGTGCGCGATTTCCTCCCCAAGCTTACATGCACTGAAATCAGTCATGTGTCACAGTTACTCCGGAGAGTTTGTGCAACGCTGACTTTCTGGGGATGTTGCAACCAGTGTACGAGGATGGCGGGCTCAACAGACTAGTCGTGGATGAGGTAAGGTACCATTTTACTCAGCTGGCATTATGAACTTTTTTTTTCAGGCCCATTGTATCTCAGTCAGTCTCTTCCTTCCCTCCGCCGCATTGTTTTACCGAGCTTGATGCAGGAATGGGGCCACGACTTCCGAGAAGGATATCGAAGACTTGGCGTGTTCCGTCGTAAGTTCAAGAACGTTCCTATCATGGCGCTCACGGCGTCAGCCACGGACGCGTAAGCATTTTCATCTTTGATACCTCGGAATGCGTGTCTGATGCCGTAAATAGTGTGCGCCGTGACATTATACACTCCCTTGGCATGTCAGAGGACCGCCTCTTCCAGGCAATCCACGGGTTCAATCGCGAGAATCTTTATTATGAAGTTCGTTTCACCCGTTTCTCTTCTGGCTTGGAATGACAAGATCTCAGGTTAAATATTCACCTCCTCGTACTTCTCTATCACATATGAGCGAGATAGCAGAATACATACTAGACATGCATCAACGGCGGGGTAAATCATCATGCGGAATTATCTATTGCCGTACACGAAAGCTTTGCAACGAGTTGGCAAGTTTCTTACGTGGCAAAGGACTAGGCGTTCGCGCGTACCATAAGGGTCTGACGTATGTGCAGTTTGGAGTAGTTTTTTTTTTGCCACGCTGAAGAGCTTTAGGCCGAACATACTGGATAAGACCCTAAGAGAGTGGACGGATGGTACTATAGATGTGGTATGGCATAATTTCACTTCATTACTTGCCGTTCTCACTGGATCTCTCAGGTTGTTGCCACTATCGCGTTCGGGTTAGGAATCGATAAGGGTGATGTCCGGTCCGCGTTAATCTTTCTCTTTCATCTCGTCCTGTCTGAAAGGTCATAGGTATGTCATACATTATGACCTCCCTAAAAGCATGGAAGGTTGGTTAGACGTACCCTTTCATATGTTATCTCTGTTGAAGTAGCACACCCTCCATGTCGCTCTTACCTTACATAATCGTAGCTACCAATACTGGAGGTCGAAAGTCAACGCTTACTAGCTTTTGACT